TCCGGCCGGGATTTAGTAAACAATTTTGTAATGCGGACCAAAATTTCGAAGATCTTCGGCCGTTAGCCAATCAAAATTGAGGATTTGCCGCGCATTTTTTGTGCGGCTAAGTTCTTTACAAACTTGAGCGATAATATCTCGATAGCTACCTATTCAAAATCAATGAAAATATTTTTATCTTAATTCTATGGATTCATATAATCAAACTAAAAAAAAATCCATCGATTTTAAATGGGTAGTTATCGAGATATCCTTCAAAAAAAAGTTTAGACAAAAGGATTATCAAAACAAAGATTATGGCCGTTCTTTCCAAACTTTGAACGAATATGTCTCAGTAACTACCTATTAAAAATCGATGGAAATTTTTTTATTTTAATTAAATTGATTCATAGAATCAAAATAAAAATTTTTTTTCAAAGGTTTAGATATGTAGTTGCTGAGATATCTTCGCTCAAAGTTTGAAAAAAATATATAATATTGCTTTTAAGGATCGTCAATTTTGTCCAATCAGAACTTGATAGTTCGCGTAGAATCGACACTTTTTTTCAGGAAGGTACGAGTATTAAACCGGACAAGAAATTTTAAAATTTTGACGGTTATATTATTAAAAAGGCTTTTTAATTGAAACTAGTATTATTAAAGCAGGCATTAGGAAAAAAAGTCATATGCTTAAAGCGGGCATGATTTTATTGAAATAAATATCTAACATTATAAAAGAATCCATATGATGTATTTTTTTTATGCCGAATCAACTTTAGTCTAATCCTCATCAGGGACACGGAAATTGTGTGATTTAGTGTGATTAAACCAAATCGCACTAAATCGCATAATTTTACATCATATTTATATTTTCCGATTAAAAAATTGCGTATTAATTTATTCTCCGATTAAAAAATCGCATATTAATTTGCTAGTCGAGCGCAGTATTTAAAAATTTGTAAGTTTTTTTTAAGAGTAAAATTTGCAAAAAACACTAAATCGCACTTTTAAATTTTAATCATCAGCAAATCACATATATTACGCATAAATTCCGGGTCCCTGATCCTCATCTAACAAGGTTGCTGAAAAATAGAATTAAAACTCCCTCGTGCACATGCTAAATTAACTAAATAATAAGTTTAAATAGCGAATGGCTTATTTAATACTGTACTTGGATAAACCAATGCTCTTTATACTCTAATTAAGCTAATTATATTAATCAATGTTCCAACTAAATTAGCGCAAATAAATGAAGTGGCAAATATTGATGAACCTGTATATCTCAGCAAATATAATAATCTCGAAAATATAGTTTATTTTAAATACTTAAATTATTAAATTATCGTGATAAAACAAAATTAAAAAGTAAAAGTAAAAGTTTATAGAATTATTATGCCCATTAGAAACCTTGTATTATTCAATCTATATAATTTCAAGTAGCGGCTGGAGCTACACTGCGCATTACTACACTATTTAATATAACGACTATTACTATTATAAATTAACCGGATTAACCGGTTATGCATAATTTATTCCGGGATAGCATCAAAATATCGGTTTCCGGATTGTCGGATAAACGGGTACAACATGAAGAGTTTTTTGTGCTTTTTTAAAATTTCAAATTTTGATTCACTATCTTCAGTACTCAATTCATCAATAATGGTTCCTTCTCAATCATAATATTCGATTCTTAGTTCTTTATTGCGTTGTTTACTTTCATCATTGTTTTCTTTTTTCGAGTTCATAGCTACTGTATAGGTAGGATCCATGAATAACCACGATTAAAAATGAATATTCAATTTAAAACGAATGTTCTAGTACATATATTCGTAAATACTGTAAATTGCCGCATAAACCACCCTTTTATAGAATACCCCCTTCTAGTAGACCGGGTCTGTTATTTGAATTCAGTGAAAGGTAAAAAGTATAAGACCCGGGTCTATTGTGGTCACGTATTATATAGTCTTAGGGTTGCTTGATTTTAATTGGTCAATTATCTTTATACCGCACAACAGACCCCGGGTCTGAATCAATTTTCACGCAGGTTTAAAGTAACAGACCCGGGTGGTTTATGCGGCAATTTACGGTATTCAATAAATATTAATTACATGAAGTTCGTGGATAGTCGTCGTGAATAATCTAATCTATTTATCCATGTAAAATCGGACATTCGTTCAATATTACTCGTGAATGCCCAAAAACCATGAATATTTAGTGAATAACCATAATGGATATTCAAAGGATCCCTTGTTCGCATATTTGTTGAAGAAAGACGCGACATTTTGAGAACAAAAAAAAAGGATGGGATTAACAAACGTATTTTGGAATATTTTTAGTAGTCTTACAGAAGTTAGCTTTGGAAGATGCGAAGTTTCGAAAGGGATGCCATTTAAAGCTCTTTGTGGATAATGGGAAGTATATACCTGAAAATACTTCAGTAGTTCAATATTGGAAAAAAAAATAGTAATATAAAATATGGAGTCACGAAAAAGAAGAAATCGGTTGAATAGCCAGTAGGAAAAAATATATATATATGAAGAATGGTGTGATATTTTTATTCATCATTTGGCATTGGTTTATCGTGAACAAAGGAGGATTGATCGATGAACGTATTTTGGAAAGTTTCGACGGACCCATAAGGGTTGATATTTGGAATAATATTATAAGAATGTTGAGTTTCAAAAAAGAAGGAGTCGTTTGAACTATTAGAAGGAGAGCTAGAGGATGATATAATATTTTGTGGTTCTAGTTCGTCATAAATGAAAGAGGGTGATGATGATGAGAGGGATTGATTAATGAACATATTTTGGTATGTTTCGATAGTCCCATCAATATTTGGAGTAATAGTAGGAACATTATTATAAGAATATTGAGTTTCGAAAAAGGAAAACTTATTTGAACAACTAATAGGAAAAGAATTGGAGGTCGATGTGATATTTTGTTCGTTATTTGGCTCTGGTTCATCGTAAATGAAAGAGGATGATGATGATAATGAAGGGGACTGATTAATGAACATATCTTGAAATGTTACAATAGTTTCATAAGGGCCAATGTTGGGGGCAATAGTAATGTTATTATTATAAGAATGTTGAGTTTCGAAAAAGAAGGAATCATTCAAACAACTAGTAGAGAAAGAATCAGGGATGATATGATGTTATGTTCAATATTTGGTTTTGGTTCATTGTTACTGAAAGATGAGGATTGATTAATGAACGTATTTTGGAATGTTTTGGTAGTTTCATAAGGATTAATGGATGGAGTAGTGGTCGTATTATTATAAGAATGAGGAGTTCTGAAAAAGAGATCATTTGAACAACTAGTAGAAAAAGAATTAGGGAGTAAGGTGACATCGAAAGAGGAATAAGATAAGGAAGGTTGATTAATGAACGTATTTTGGAATGTGTCAATAGGCCCATAAAGGCTAATATTGGAAAGAGGTTTCATTATTAGTCTGCGTGGTTTTGGTCCACGTTTACAACCCGGGACAGGAATACAGTGACGGTTGTTTTTTTTTTACAATTTATACAAGTGTTTTCCTCAGGAAGTCTTTTACATCTTACATGCCTCTTTTGACAATATATACACGCTGAGGTCGCATGAGTACGTGGCATGATTTAAATATCTTTATGCGCACAAAAACAAAGGTCAAACGCTATGATAACAGTGGTAAACTTTTACGATGCTTGCAAAGAATAAAAAAAATAATAATAAAAAAGGTTGAAAAAAAAGGGTTAAAGTTTTGAAGGGAATGAGATCTGAAGGCGAAGATTTATATTAAATTTTTCTTGTATTGATCTATTAACATTTATTTATTACATATATTATTGTATATAAAAGTATATAACGTATAAATGCGTATAAATGTGTCAACTAACTAATCGACTCAACTAATCGACTCAACTAATCAACTCAACTAATCGACAACTAGTCAACTAATCAACTAATTCGATTAGTTGTCAATCATATATAAATATAGCAAATTTTTGAACTCTTTTTTTCAATACGTAAGCCATGGAATGTAATACAAATTTAATATTATATATCTATTATAACGATAACGATAACGATAAATACGATTCATATATTTCTTCGCTACAACATTTAATGTATAGAATGGGCTATTTTGCTATATAGTGACCAAAGAATTGCGACGTTAAAAAAATTGACATAAATCATCCAATTTGGAAAAATGTAATGCAAATCTATAAAAATATATATTTTTTCACACTATTAGCGCTAACATATAATCAACAAATGGAGTTATAAAAATTACGGTTTTTGATAATTCATGAGTTTCGCTACAAAGAGGTTTCCTATATAGTGAAGTGAGTCGAGTATACATCAGAAACTTTAGATTACGTATCGCCATAAATTAAAACCATTTAACATTAAAACCCTATATAAACAGTATTTATAAAAAAATTTTTTCAGCAAATTAATAAAATAGCAAGATTCGTGGGGGATGCTATCTTTCGAAGCTGAAATCACATGATGATGTTACGAATCTAGATGTGAGTCCCTGATTTGACTCTAGACCGAGTTCTCATAAAGACTCGACTTTTCGGACCGGACTGGACTTTTAACATCCCTAAGTAATTGCATCAGGAAGTTTTAAAATCATAACCAACTCGTTAATCATTACAATATACAACTAGATATTTAAATAACATACATTGTATATTGATATTTTATACATTGCAATGTTTAACGAAGCCCCCATTTTTCAATGTTTTTTTAGATTGATTAACCCAGGTTAATCATCTAGATTTATATTATTTTTTTATAACTTCGTGATGTGGAATCGAGAGTATAGTTTAATATGAAAAAATCGGGCAAAAGCATAAAACTTTTTATAAAGGCGAGATTTATAAAACTAACCGATAACTTTGTCTGCGTAATAAGCTCCACAAGTTACCTGTCAGATTTTCAAATTTTGCTTTTAAAAGAGTTTATGCTGAAATCTGTATTTGACAATATTAATTTCAATTCGCTAATACCTTTAAAAACTAACCGCTAATTTTATAAAGCTCACGTTGTTCTATTAAGTTATTAGTTAATTTTTCTTAATAATTCGTTATTTTAATCAAACTTATGAGACAACTAAGTTGAATTTGCAAATGACATCGTTAGTGGATTATGATAAAGGAATTAATCACGAAACCTAACGCTTTATAATTAAACCAATCACAAATACAATAATATTTATCACTCATGCAATGCATGTACCGTTTATTTTATCATCTTTTTTTTTATAAGTTGGATTTAGCAATTAGCTCAGCAAATTAGATCAATTTATTCGCAATGTTTCTAACAAATGTAAAATTATTATAATTTAAGGAAATGACTAGATTAATATGTCTGAATTTATAATCTTGTGTAAAAAAAAATTTAAATGTCTTCACAACGACGCATTTTGATTGACGGCGTTCATATAATAGCATCGAAAGAATACCTTTAGTGAACGTCAGCATGCAGTAGCAAATCCAATAATTTTCAAAGTAGTTTATCGGGTAGACGTATAGCTGCGCGCTATTTTATCCCCCTACGCGTTATTTCAAGATAAAGGACTAGGATGAGATACTCGTTGTGTGAAATCATAGGAAGAAAATTGGTTGATTGTTAATTTTTATATATCTTCCCATATAACTTTTAAAAAATTCTGCGTCTATTATAATGATAAAAACGAAAAAAAAAATCAAAAATTTTTTATAAACTAGTAAATACATGTAAAAGACTTAACATATATACTTCTAAGACAAGAATATATGTTATAAATGGATTTCGAATCCAGAAACAACTTAAGTCGATTCTAGATCTTAAAAAAAGATCGTTTAATAGTCAAATATTAGATAATACACAGTGACTCTTGATACATATTGTTTGGGCAATTAATTTGATCCATTATATCAAGATTACTTGATCTCGAATCCGTTATATCAAAAGTCACTGTATAATCATATTTAAAACAATTGTACTGTTTTTCACGAAAGTTCCAATTAAATTTCAAGAATATTCTTTTATTTCAAGCTTTACTAATACAAATTTAGGAAATCTAAAAGATAGATAATGGATTTAAATTCTTTTTAGCAAAAATAGCATATATAATAAAATATATACAATGTTTTTAGTTATAAATTACATATTTATTATCTTTAAAATTCTATTTCCGTTTTAAGTTGTTTTGAGATTCAAAATCCATTTAAATTGATTCGGAATCTACAGAATTCCGAACCCACCTACAACATATATAAATCATTAAAAAAGTCGAATCCTCTTTTGAAAATGGTCTATAGCTTTGTTGTAGAGATGTAATAGATTTTTACAAAACTCTAACCAAAACTACACACAGTCATTAATTTTGTAATAATCAATATCTAAAATCTAATAATTTTGTTATATGACCACATATAATTTTGATTCACGTAATACATCAGAACGAATCTTACCCGGATGCCTCATATCAGCACAAATTAAATGAGAAGTGAATGGTTTAGTAATTTGATCAAAAAATAATCATAAATAAGGAGAAATGAAATAACTTACTGTAAGTATAATGGTTTAATATGACTTAGCATCACCGACCCTGATTCTCAAAAAAAACTTCGTTATCCAGCATAACTTATCGTTGCTAGGTCTCTTCCATAAAAATTCGATTGCATCTCTCCAATAAACAATTTTCTTGAAAATGAATCGTTGATTACATCATACAAGAGATTTTTTATTCGTATTATAAGGCAAGGAACAACTATGAGAGAGACAGGTAGAACATTAAGAACAACTTGATCAGCCAAAATCGATCATGGCTATCGTTCAAAAAAACCTGGAGCTACGAATGGTTAATTAAAATTCATTCATTTCGCAGCAAAATTGTTAGATCAATTTATTTCACTGATTGAACGATATCTTGATCACTAACAAACATTAAGCTGTTTGAGAACACTTATTCCACTAAATAGTGAAATGTTCATAAATACAATCTTACAATTTTATACTATATTTAATTGTTATATCTATAACGTCGATTGGTTAGATTGGTAGTTTGTATGCGCTTTTTTATTTTCGTAAATTGAGGTCACAAGTGCATATATAAAATATTTATTCTTTGAGCAACGTCAATAAGTAAAGTATTGGGTTAATATTTGCTTTCTATTCAATGACTAGTTTAATATTTTCTACTCTAGCAAATGTTAAGCCATTCTGATAAGATCAGGAAGAATATTTCGAGGAGTTTGAGTATTAGGACACAAATTATGGTACAGACAATCCAACTGAATGTTGATATTACAAGATAATTGGTGCATATGATATTACCATATTTCTAGCCGATTGCATCGTGAACACGGTTAGGACATAGCCAATAATTTTGCACTTTATCTATGACATGCTTTTCTGTTTCGGAATACGCGACCTCGACGACGAGATTCGGCCAAGATTTGTCCTGAAAATCAAAAGGTAAATATGGGACCTACAGCTTTAAATGTTCAAAATCAGTGAAAGTGCATTTCCATCTCTCCCATTGGCGGAGTTACTATATGATTTTCTGGGCTAAATGCCAGCTTCTTTCCAAAGTTACCGTTACGAGTCCCTTTAAATATTCCATACCATACATGTAATAAATGAAAGTTAATGAATCGTCGCTTACGAACTGATCCAAGACCATATATCTCTGCATCGCTGTCATCAACGGAAATACAGCTTTGTATTATTTGCTTAGAAACCACTTCAATACAAATTTCATGCAGATTTGATGGGAATTCAGTGATTATAACCTTGCCATCGGACCATTCTCAAAAGCCATGAATATTAAAAAGATCTTTCAACGAGGGTATATGGAAGCCTTGGCATAATTAACAATAATTGGGGGTTTTTTTTTCATTAGAAAAACGATAGACGTCACTTACTTCATACTATTCCAGTTTGTCTTTGGATAGAGATTCCTTGGTCCACCAAAGTTTTCTAATTTTTTTTTTATTTGAATTCAATCAAATAGTTGTTGAGATATCTTTGATCAAAGTTTAGAGAATTTTAAAACGCCTATCACATTTTTAGATAAAAGATATCTCAACAACCACTTAATCAAATTTGATAAAATTTTTTTATTAAAATTCTGTATATTTTACAGCATTTCAAAAAAAAAAAAAAACTTTATCAAGTTTGATCAAATAATAAGATATTTTTGATTAAAGTTTTGTCAGAAAATTTTGGTGCAGCTTTTATTTAATAGGTATTTTAAAATTTTTCAAACTTTTAACTAAAAATATCTCAACAATTATTTGATCAAATTTAATAATTGTTTTTTTTTTTTGAACTTTATAGGTTTATAGAATTCAAGTCATTGAATTTGGTTAGGTAGTTATTGAGAAAAGTTTTATTAAAATTTTTAATAAAGCTCCTATTTAATAAATATTTAAACTTTTAACTATAATATTTTAGTAATTACCTGATTAAATTTGATAAAAATTTTTATTTAAATCTTATAAATATGTAAAATATATAAATAATAATTCTTTTTATAATGTTTATAATTATATGATTATACAGAAAACAATTTAATATAGTGGTTTTAAAAAAATATAATAATTATTGTACAGTAACTTTATGAGAGGTAGCTATATTGAGGTTCGACTTTATACGTATACGTAGTCTAAATTTTGTTTATCAAATGTCTAATATGCATATTATAATTTTTTAAAAAAAACCTTACTACCGTACTATTTTCACGAAATAACGCGCAGAGGCGTTATTTCGAATTTTGGTTAGAATTAAACTTAATTCGGGCCAAAATTCGATATTACGCCCCTGCGCGTTATTTCGCGAAAATATGGTATACATATAAGAAGACTAACATTATATTACCTATATAAATTATAAAAATCTCGCAAAGATAATAGGAAATAAACCAATGATAAAGAAATAAAACAAATAATATTTAAGCTTCCTTAGAAAATTTCTTTTTACATACTTTTATCCAATTTTCCAGTCAAATTTAATATTGTAATTATAAGAGAGGCAATCATATATAAGGCAACGAATACGCCAGCAACCGTTGGTGATGCGTTTGCACTAATCTTTGCACAACAAAATAATGGAAGAAGAACACTAAACCAAACTATATTTGTTATTCTTCCAGGTGTAGATTCTTCATTATGGCTTAAACTAACTATTGCTTTGATTGATCTGTAAAGGTCATAGCCTATAATAAATAGACTAATAATACCTAAAATCATCAAGCAGTAAATTCCAAAGTATGATCCATCTCCCCCATGAAGTTTCCGAATATGTTGTGGAATAGTTTGTTCTGAACTTGATTTGTTTAATTCTGAAGCATTGGGAATTAAACCTTTTTCTAGGTTAGCTTCAACTTGCTCATTGACGACAGTTTGGATAACTAATAAGCTAGGAGTTATTTCGTTTATTGCTACTGAGCCTACTGCATTTGATTGAGCATTAGAAGTTTTTTCTTCTAATATAATTTGTTCTGGCATGATAAGTGGTTTTTTTTAGCAGCAAGAAAAACAAGCAATTATTCTTTATGTCAATTCAATAGGAAAAGACAGCTTTTTCATTTAAAAAAATCGGTGGTTGTATATGCTATATATAATAGATATATACATTCAATGCTATAAAACGCTATAAAAAGTACATATTTATTTTTACCAAAAAGAATTAAATATTATCGGAGTTAATAATTAATCGAATTACTATTTCCGGCAGGATAAATAGATAAATAAAAACGGAGTGCAAACTTCGTAAATGATATACCAAATACTAAAATACTAAGTATTTTGTAGCTTGTAAAAAATTTTTACTCAGTGGGTGTCCCCAAGTTCTGATTAGATTAGACAAAGTGAATCATGCAATGATTATTAATAATTAAAGACCTGGAGTAACGGAAAAAAACAAAATTCGATAGTAACTCAAAATTTTGCTTATGAAATTACTTTTGCGTAAAAAACTTTCTTGCAAAATTTTAGTATAATGCATACCATATTTGCTCTCAATGCTAACCATAACGGCATGTTTTATTATTTTAATATGCGGCCATATTTGATTGTTTTTGATTTCGAATCAAAATCTGATGTGATCAATTTCATCCAATCAGGGATAAGATTCTATGCGTCCAAATAAGAACTTGGAGAAAATTAGTAAATCCGTCTCGCTAACGTCATCTCCCGACAATGTGTTAAGATATTGTATGGTTATAGAAAAGTTTGTTAGTGATGTAATTTTTAGGAAATCGTAACAGACCCTAATAATCTTTTCTCGAGATGAGTTAGTTTGCGGTAAAATACACTGACAATTATCACAAGTGGTTTCTCTTATTTTCTTGACATTCATAATAATAATAAATATATAATAACGCTCGAACCCTACGAATAAAAAGTAGTGCAATGAGATATTTCAGCAGTAGTAGGTTGGAAGCAATGCTATCAAGCCTGTTATGCTGAATTATTTAATAATCTTAGTTGCTACTGAGATTATATTAATTGTGTTGATGATTGTGTTGATGATTGTGTAGAAGCAAATTTTCCAGGCACTACTTGTATGGCAGAAAATTATGCTAGAGATTATGCAACTATTCTGTTACTATAAAAGAAAACTGAATTAATTCTTTTTAATGCTCGAACGTCTTCTCTTACGAGAGTGTACGCAGCATGTGCTGCATTACGATATTTTGGAATATTCAATGGGTCGGCCATTGAATGACGTTGTGCTTGTAAAGAATTTATAGTTAAAATTGAAAATCTATATAAAGCAATATAAAACAGTAAAATAAATTATCTTTTCATGAAATCTAATTTATAATTTGATGCTTTAAGGATTTGTTTTTTTTTTTGCTGTATGGAGTTTATCATTAATATCACGCTAATTAAAAAAGTTCACCACTTAGAATGTAGCTGACTAATAACTAAGACTAGAAAAAATGAATTGCTATATGGCGATTTATTAATTATCTGCTATGAAATATTATCAGTTATACAACGTACGTACATGCCGAAATAACTGTTTACCTGTTACTGTGTTATGGCTAAAACTTTACGTTTATTGCAATGAAGCCAAAATAATTTATATAGGAAAAATTTATGTATATGGCAATATTTACGTAGTCCCACATGTGCATATTAAAATTGTATGGTGCGTGCACACATACATACATGCGTACGTACGTACGTGCGTATGTCGTGCTTGAAGTTTCTTCAAATTGCACCATTTGAAGTTGGAAGAAATTCTATTCGATTGGTTAAAAAATAGCCTTATTTTTGCATAAAATTTAAGGACCTCGAAATGATACCAGGACCCGTCGTTAAATGAATGGTAAAGTTTAATAATTAGACTTCATTGTATATTATGCATTTTATAGAATGTTGTATTTGTAACTACATACTTTTGCATTATACATGATATTACAATTGCCGTACTTTCGCGAAATGGCGGGCCTCTAAAAATAGCAAGCATGGATTCAAAATGGCGCCCATGCACATCCCAACAACTCGCACTTCGTATAGCGATAGGTCACACGGAATTAATCAGGTATACAGACCGAATGAATTCCATAACGACAAGGAGAAACTTAACAAATGCATAAAATTACAGGCTTTTTTTCTAGGAATAACTCATATACAACTCACGTATGTGTACGATATACATGTATTCAAAATAACGTGTAGATGAGCATTACTTCGCAGAAACGATAATCAAATAGCTATACTAATCTTTAATAATTTGGGCCGTCGAATATAAATGAATCCAGAATAGATACATGAATTGAATTTATATATGTTGTTGACCAAATCTCTGTGGATTTGAATTGTCCAATTAGATGGATATGTATACTTACAAACAAAATTGACACGAACTATGAGCAAATCCTTAAACTTTGATTGCTAGTTTAAGCTCTTATTGAGTTTAACTTTGGTGAACTTGAGGAGAATGTTGTGAGTATGCGCGGGTAAATGCTATCATGAGTCCGCAATATCGGATCTTATGTCTCGGTCTGTATCATTTATTGTATATTATCGCCCGTTATCAAGGGCAAAGGTCAAAATCTCAATTTTCCTTCTTCATTGGAATATGTATTCTTGCCGCCATGAGAGCGGTTAACCACGTGTGGTCGTTCTTCCTCATTAAGAGGTAATTTGGCTACACTACATGACCATTATAAATAATATCCCTTAATCAACTATCACTATCGATATTCCATATATTCATAATAGCCCGATGATTTCAAATAAGTACGTATGGCGTTCTTTAAATTGCTCAAATACTACTTAATGCATGATTCAATCAAATGCAATTTTGAGTAACAGCCCTAGGCAGGAGACCGTTAATATATTTTCGATTCTTCCACTAGCGCCAAAGCTTTTAGAGTTAAAAACAAAGGATTTTTATTATTTGTTTTAATGTAACCGTTACAAATCATAACAAATACATTCATAGTGAACAATTATAAATTTTCTTAAAAATTGAATGAATAATTTTGGTTCCTGTTGTAAAAATGAGGAGTTATCTTTACCCTGTATCATCCAACCAAATCACCGAATTACAATATCAAATGTTAATTATCAATTATGTACGTACGTACGTTAATGAATTTTAAAAATATCTTGTGTAATAAATATTTTAAAAAATAAATAATTGCGTAATACTGTAATAGTAATGGACATTGCAAATGCGTGTAATAACCGATTTGAAATGCCACAATACCACAAAACGTTGATAAAAAAACGCAGTGGAACATCAAAGATATCATGAAACGTTACCGTTAAAAATGTCAATTGAAATTGTCTAAGGAAAAAAACGTACAATAGAAAGGAAAGCATATGACTTATTTTTTCCTAACTACATTACCTAAGTGTAAAAAAAAATTTCTAACGTTAATCTTCAAATATAATTCCGAAGTAAGGCATCTATCAATATTTTTTTCACATTTAAATGTAATTTAATACAAATAGCGTTAGGAGTTTCTAATTTTAAGGAGTTAAAAATTAAGTAGATCAAAAATGTTAGGAGTTTAATTCAATACGTAATTAAAAGATGCGAGTATTTTGATTTAATGTATGATTAATTAAATAATAGTTATTAAGTAAATTAAAATATTGATATGATGAATGATTTATGATAAATCTACAATGTTTGATAATAAAAAAATCACTAATTATTGTCATTTTTGATAATTAAACCGACAGTATCTCCGTTAATTTCTTAATTGTAATTAATAATATAATGATATAATATAACATTGCAATATAAGTTAATAAGATATTAGAGCAAAATAAAATATAACATTTATTTACTGTAATGTAATATAAAATTTTCTATTCTATACATTTAATTAGCTACAAATTAATCTAACATTCCAGAGAAAAAAGGTTATTATTAAATCAAAAGATGGTAATAAGATCTATATAGTCTAATGTGTAATCAATTAATTCAAATGACTAGTATTAGCTATTTTCTATCTTTTTTTTCGAATTAGGATTGCCTAATACTGGCGACCGAATATGAGGTTGACAAATCCAATGAGGAAATATCTTATACCCATTTTCATCATTTTCAACCTCATCATCATAAACGTAACTAGCAGCTGCAGCCGTTTTCTAAATTATTGATAAAATTTAAATAAAAAGTTTTTTTTTTAAAAAAGGACAAATACAAATATAAATATAAATATAAATTAATACCATCAATCGACTCTGTAGCTCATCGGATATCGCACGAATTTCTTCGAAAGTAGTGACCTTGGCTAATTGCTCTCTTAAATCCACATGAAATGGGAGAGCTGGTCTATATATTTTAAAAAGGTGCGCACGAATATAACCAATTTTTGTCGGAACAGTTCGACAAATGTCTAAGTATTCACTTGCCAATTGCCAAGTTGGCAAATTGCTACCAGAAAATATGGCAGGATTATATAAATTACCCTCTGCGGACATGACCCCATCAACACCTGTCATACTAATACAACGTTCAATATCTTCAAAGTAAAGGATATTTCCATTGGCGATAACGGGTATATTTAGTGCTTTCCTGAAAATAATTTGATTTTATATTTTCAATATATAATATTTATACATATAACGAATTTCAAAATGAATACTTACTTGACCTGACTAATTTGCTCCCAATCTGCCAATGCAGAATTGTGGCCTTTTTGGTCGCGAATGCGACCGTGCACAGTTAATAGTTGTGCACCTGCACTCTCAATCATTTTAGCATACTTTATCGTTTTTTCTACTTCAGGAAATACTCTTATCTTGGCTGTTACGGGTACTGATAGATTTTCATGGAGAATATTTACTGTAAAAAAAATAAACAAATAAATATATATAGATATTCTATAAATGATCCAGTTTTATATAAGATAAAACACACCCATGTGCAAACGCTTTTTATAATCAGCAAGCACACACCTTTATAATAACCAGTCTTAGAGTACACACGCGTGTGTTCTTTTGAAACTCACTCAGTTTATAAATTAAATCCCATTCATCTTGTAAAAAAGCACCATAATGGCCACGTCGAGCAATATGTTGTGGACATCCTAAATTCAAATCTACTGCATCACACTGATCCTGTACTTTTAAGGCGGCTTTAAGCAATGTTTCTGGATCATTAGCACAAAACTAAAATAATTGTAAAACTTTTTAAATAAAATTTCAATGAATTTATATATGAGTGTGTGAGAATGAAACCAGGAAATAAAATTTAACCAATCATAAATTTTATTTCCTGATTTTCACTCTCACGCACTCATATATATATATATAAATGACATTAAAGATAAAAAGCAATTAATTACAAACTTGTACGATTAAGGGACGGTCATTTATTCCAGTTGACCATACATCGGACTGATATTGTCGGTTTTTTTCGTCACAAAACATTTTTGCATGAATCATAGGGGTATAACATATTTGAGCGCCATATCGGCGAGATAAAATTCTCCAGGCATATTCGGACTGATCCACCATAGGGGCAAGAAAATACTTGGCATTTTTAAGTACTGTCTGGTAAAAATCATATCCTTGGAGTTTCCTGCGTTGAGACATTTCACGATTAATCTAAAACACGATTCGTGCATTTATCCGTATACCAATGCCACATGAAGATTAGTGTCACATAAAGTACCAGATACACAAAAATACTTTTTAAGATTATCTATGAATTATTATTATAAATAAGGGGGATATATTTTGACGTGTGAATCTTACCTAATAACCTAAATTAATTTGAAACGATTTTTTAGAGTTGTATTCAAAAAGATCTCGTAAACAGCTAGTCTTTGGTTCAATGTACAGTACTCAATGTACGCCTTTTATCTTCCCTTACTTTTAGTTTATGAATAAATGAATCTTATTAAATTTTTAAGTTTAATAATTCCCATATTTCGTAATTAACCACCTGCGCCACAAATTTTCAATGGCTTTGATGTTCGCATATTGCAATTTTTACTTGTTCTCAATACGTGCGCGAAATTTTACCTGTGTCACATGCAATTGCATTGTTTACGTTTACGTATAATTTGGTAACTTATAGTGACCATAGTACTGTAGTATAAACAATCTCTTTTCTCTTCGACCAATTTTTTAATGATTTACATTCCTTTTTGCATTTTTCAAAATTTTAAAATATTACATAGCCGTTAAGTCCTAAAAAGATTCATTAATCATTGTTTTTTTAGTAGACTGTAACTTCGAGTTGTGTAGAATTCCTTCATACACTGATTATTTTCCGAAAATTATATTACATCCTTTTTTTTCTTTTTTTATAAGCCACCAAGGTAAAGATTAACTATATAAATCAAACGATTCATTTCTTAATCAAGATTTGAATCAAAGAGAAACAATAGTTTAAGAACTTAATATATATATATATATATATATATATAAATTTTCTCCTAATAAGTGATCTTATCGTGCATAAAAAAATTCACTTGAATATTTCAGTATTTGAATTGATTTCCCCTAAAATTCTAAAATTTTCTAATTCGTTGAATAACCCTGTACAATATTTTTAGATAACTTTGTACATTATTCTTTTCCCTTTCTTGAGATTAATACGTATAATTTATCACTAATAATATTATAAATTATAACTTTCAAGGATCTTCTACTACTTTTTTGGACTCCTCCCTTCCTTACTTTTCCCTTTCCTCCAGTAAGCTAGATCAAATCAAATACACTTACACGCACTAATATGGACGTTCTTCGTTTCAAAGTTGACCACCTCAAGTTATTGTGGTCAGAATTTCGAATTGTAAACGCGAACGTTGACAATGATTACGGTGATCAGTCAGAGTGGGCGCGGAGAAAATTACAAGTAAATTTTTTATTATTATACTTTAGTCCAACTTATTGACTTCTCGGTTTATATCTTTTTTTTATGAAATATATTTATTTATAATTTATAAAATATAGGGTGTATTTTCAGAACTTGATAAACTTATTCAAGAACAACTTTTATGGAAATCCAAACTCGCAGCCGAGATAGAAGACCTATTGGTATAATACAATATATAATACGTTGATTACATATATGTCCTATTTAAGATTTAAATCATTTTAAAATAACTTTTTCGCGTCTTTTTAAAGGTGGAAATAGATGATTATTGTCGAATATTTGGTCGAAGAGTTGACATTATCATACCACAGGCCGCTTCTTTAAACATTGAATTGAGTGACGCAACGCGTGACAACTTGAGGCTTATTCGAGACTCATTACTAGAGGTAACAAAAAATAACCAAGTGAACTTTATACTATGCGCGTTATATACAGATATAGGAAATACTTTAGTTAATCGTATCTTTCCTTTTTAGGAAATTGGTCTAACGCGAAAGAATCTCGGCAAATGGTTGAGTGATCTTGAAATTTTAGTACAAGAATTAAATGAAGATTATAAGGTTCCATCAATAGAGGTATTTATTATTATTAATAACAAAAATATGTATTATTTATAAATATGCGTTATTAAATTTGGGTTACTAAATATTTAATTTTAAACATTATGTAGATTTTTAATACGGATTTAAGTTCTTCTTTAGTTCTACCGGTTTGCATATTATAATTTTACTATTTATTACTGTATTTCTAAAAGTAAGTACAAGTACACGAACTAAATTAACTTTTTTTTATTAACAGATATGGTACAAGTACGACGAGTATTCCAGAGCTGCGGTATGTTTTATTCGTTAACTTAATATTATTGATTATAATCATAAAAGAATTACGTGTAAACCATGTATATTATATTGTTTATAGGTGAAACGGCGCGATACATTCGAAAAGTTTGCGATCAAGCTACATCACTATTGGAACATACTTCATTATTCACCTAAGGATGACGTAGACGAATTATTATCCAAATTATTTGCTGATAAACCAGACCCTAAAGACCTTTATGAAGCACTTGAAAATGACAATAATGTTGATGATAAAAATCATGACTCTGATAAAAATCAACAACATGAATATTTATATTATACCCTACAACTTCCACCCGGATTAAAATTGACACCGGAGAATATTGCCATCCTTAAGAAAAAATCAGCGGCTCTTGAACAGGAATATACGAACCGTAAGAGTAGAGTAGAAGCATTATTGAAATCCATCAAAAATCTATATGAAGAATTGAAAATTCCTCTGGAAGAAAGAATTAACTTGACTTGTTCGCTTGATGATGACTATTTTAATCAGGTAGACAATTATTATCGTCAAGGTTGCTGAATAATATCAGTTTTTTTTTACTTTACGGCATATTGATTTGAATATTCCTTTAATAGTTATCATTAGAGGTTCAACGTCTACGAGAACTTATGCGTAATGTTGTACAAAAGGCTATTGAACAAGTAGGAAATATTTATTTTATTTTATTTCAATATGAAAAATTTAAACAATATGTATGTTAATTATAATTAATTAAAATTAGTACACCACTCAACTGGGCAACCTCTGGGATAAATGCCTAGTCCCACAACATGAGCGTGATGGTTTCTTTGAAAACGTACACAAGAGTAAGTCTATTAATGTATTGATTCTATCTAATAATGTTAAAGGTATTGTATTTTATTAAAAATTCAAATTATTATTATTTACAGTTGACTCGTCAGAAGAAGTTTATGAATATCTCGCACAAGAAACGATGCGTTTGGAAGAACTTCATGTGAAGTGTGCCAAGATTTTTGATTTGATGTCGGAGAGACGTGCATTGATCGAGGTAATTTATTGTGAGACATTAATAATTGAGAGTTTTTGAATATTCAAATAAATATAACATGTATTTTTAGAAAATGATTGAATTTGAGAAAAAGGCATCTGATCCGCGTCGTCTATTCCAAAGTTCTTTTCGATTATTGGAAGAAGAAAAATGGAGAAAATCATGCTGGCCTAATTTGGTGAAAATTGAAGACAACTTGATTAATGCGTGCATCGCTTATGAAGAAGGTAAATAAGTATCTCTCATTATAGTACATCAACCATCAACTTTTAGCTTACCATATAAATTTGATTCAAAAGCCGAAAGAAAACCTTTTATGTATGAAAGTGTACGATTTCTGGATACGCTGGTATGTTAAAAGAATTATTACAATAATATTTTCTTAAAATCTAATGATACTAAGTTTCTTCTGTATTAAACTCATCAGCAAGCGGAAATCTCGGAACGCACTGTCAATCAAATGTTCTTTGGCTTTGAAAAGGATGCTGCTAAAGGATCTAATCAAAAACAGGCCAAAGATTACAAGAACTCAACAAAACGTAAAGAGAATAAACCAACTCCAAAAGTCACACAAAGCAGATCAGTATCGCCAGCTGCTTCCGTGAATGATGATCAGGGTCTATCACATAACAGTCAATCAATGCCACCTCCACCAGTATCACCTACTTCTAGTAATGGAACTCGAACGCGTAGTAGCCACACCCAAAAACTTACACCTAGTAGTACGATATTACTTTCGAATTCTGAAAATTTACCTAACCGATCACGAAGAAGTAGCAAGGCTATAAGTCGGTCCGTTTCTCCAGCAAGATCCACTGCTTCATCACGTGCAACTTCACCAGAGAGACTAAATGGAAAGTCGTTAAACCGAAAGCGCAGCACAAATAACATGAGCTTAACACCACCTTTAAGTCCAACTTATCGTGTGTTAAACCCAGATAATTCAACCCTTCATCCTGGGACTGCAGCTACACAAAGGACAAATAAATCTAATGATGATAAAAATTTGACGGCTTCTCGCCGGTCATCCATCTTCGGTAAGAGTAATTCTACATCAAAACGTAGTAATAGTGTTTCTAGTACATCAAGTGAATCATCATCAGTTTCGTCAATTGCTGCTCCTTCTACACCAACTACACTTGCACCTTCTTATGTTGTTAATGGACACTTAAGTGTACCTACTCCATCAAAAATTAAATCACAAAAAGAAACTGATAGAAATACTGCAATTAAAATAAAAATAGATAACGAAGACAACAAGAGTAAAATGTCAACCAAAGCTACAAAAGCTACAACACCCAATGCCACATTAACTATGCCTTTAGCAAGAAAAACAAATAAAGAAATAACAAAAGCCAGGCCTAAGAGTGTTGTTGGCCAGTGATTTTTTTTTTTAAAAAAAAAATTCTTGTGTGAAAACTCTTATATGACCTGATTTATGGTTATTTCTATATATATATAATACTTTTAATAATACTTAATTTGATAGAAATTAGCTTTTTTTTTTCGTATGTGTAATTTGCATAATTTGCAATTTTATTATTTGAGACACTTACGAATAGAAACATCAAAAAATAAAGAATTTCCTAATTTTAGTATACCTATTTATTTTGCAAGCACTGGTATAAATATTAATTAATCAGTAATGTAATGTACAACTAGTAAATAATTCGTTATCATCATGACTGTCAAGATTGTTTTGACTGTCATGATTGTTATGACTGTTAAAGGGATCGATTATATATATATATATATATTTTTTAAAAAAAAAAATCTTATTTGTACAAATTACTAGCTCTATTAATATGATTTTTTAATTTTTTAACTTCACCAGTAAATCCACTCCATATTTTTGTTCCATAATTCTTAATTTCTTTAGCACCAATTCCACCACTACTTCCAGCAACATTTTGAGAATCATCACCTTCAGTATCAACATTTTCATTATCACTACTTAATTTTGGAACATTCTCTAATAAACATTTCATAATTTCAACACGTCCATGTTTTGCAGCAAATACGAAAGCGTTTGGAAAATGAGAATCTCTTGGTAAAGCTTCAGCACCATGATCGATTAACATTTTAACATATACCGGATCATCACATAATATTATAGTAGCAAATAAAATATTTGGTAATTTGTGATTATATAATTGAGAGAAAGTAGATTTTGAATCATTTTCACCCAAAGAAGAACTTGAACTATAAGAATAAATTGATTGTAATGTCTTTGATTTAGTAGAAGAATAATCCAAAGATTGAGAAAGAATAGTATTTTGATTATATAAATTATTTAAACGTTCTTTTGATGATTTTGGTTGTAATAATCTAATATTTGGATTTGCACCTTGATCTAATAAAGATTTTATTTGAGCCAAATCAGGAGGACGATCACCAAATTTTAAAGAATCTTTAAATAAACGTTTTAATGAAGAATCTAAATCATCTTGAGAAATTTTTTTTGGTGAAGTTGGAGGTGTTATAAGATTATTTGGTTGAGGGACAAGTCTTATAACTATATCTTGTATAATTGCACCACGAGCTCGTAAAAATGGTTCGGATAATTTGGGAGTTTTCCAAGCAGCATTTTGACCGTTGATTACTAAAAATAATAAATAATAATAATAATAATAATAAAAATAATAATAATGTTGTTATTAAAAATGTAAAAATATAATAAATTAATTATTATAAAATAAAAATGATTATTAGAATTATAAATAAAATAAATTGATTATTAGAATGTATAAAATAAATTGATTGTTAAAATGTATAAAATAAATCATAATAAGAAGTAAACATAATAGATAATAGATAGCAAATATAAATAATATATATAAAATAAACATAATAAATAATAAATAGCAACATAACAATAAATAAGTAAATAAATATAAATAATAATAAGTGAATTATAAATAATAATAATACCTGTAGCCACTAAAAATTTTTTTAATAATACCGGATCGTCAAATATCGGAGGATCAGGTAATGGAGGACCAAAATATGGTACACCATCTTTACATACAATCTCAACGCGATATGCTCGTGAAGAACCAACACTAATTTGAACAGGACTAACAACTACGTAGACATGCAAAAATTGCGAACGTATAGCAAGTGGAGAAAAAGGCCTTCGGATATCTTGAAAAATTATACATACAACATCTAAATAAAAAATAAAAAAACAAATTAACATTAAAAAATAATATATGCTAAATATACTGTATTGAACATATTTTAAATCATATATTAAAAATGAATTTAAAAATATTATCATCATAATTAATATGAGGACATACCGTTTCCAATATGCCTTTTTCTTGTAATTTGACGATTATTTGATTTTTCATAAGGAAGTAATGTGCTCACATGATACATAATAGTAAAATCTTTCCAAGTTCCAGTATCGTAAATAGAATATTCACCAGTACCTTCGGTATCAGTAGTATCTAAACCACCAGTGAATCCTTTAAAACCTTTTAATTTAACTTTATTGCCTAAAATTTCTAAAAAATTTTCATAAGCGGTAGATGTAGTGGTATTGGAAAACCATTCTTCTTCAGTTTTTTGCATTGATGTACAATATAATACACCGATCTTGTAGCATTTTATAAGCTATAAAAAAAAATATATAAATGTTGAGAGAAAGAATAATAATAATTATTATTAACATATTTACTAATTACTAATAATAGTAATAAATACTCTTGTTTCATCCAAATTTAATAATTCATTTTTTAATTCAGGAGTAGTTAAAAATTTCTTTAATAATGGTCTTCCAGGAGTTTTTACAATCATTTTTAATAAATCTTCAGCTGGTAAATCACCCATAGGAAGAATAGGTGGACCGGCCAATAATCCTCTTTCATCAGGTAATTGCTTTTTACGTAGAATATATCTATACCAGTATACACTTTCACAATTTGCATTTACAGTTCTATTATCGAGTACTATTGAAATAACTACAGGTCCATAAGAGTCAACAAATCCAACAAATGTCGAATGATCTTTTGAAAGAAAAAAAATTGATATATATATATTTATTTATTTATTTTAAATTAAAGATAATTCAATGGATATATATCTATATGTGAAGTAAGTCAAACCTTTTTCAATGAAAAATCTTCGATACCAAGTAGACCCCATGTCTAAATGTTCTATTGGGAAATCTGCATATAATAAATTTCGTGGTAATATGTTCGAGAATTTGGCTGCTATGGGTAAATCAAACTTTTAAAAAGGAATTAATAAATCAATACATATATATGATGGCGTAAAATTGTCAAATATGGAATTATAAAAAATTACCTGAGAAGCAGACATTGAAGAAGTTGTTAAAACACTAGCGCTGCTAGATCGATCTTGTTGATCCATAGAAAACATTGGATAAAAACGAAAAAAAAAAACCGATAAACGGATGACTAAATTTTTTAGATGATTAATTACTTGTCTATTGTGTAAAAGAGTAATTTGAGATGATGATTAAATTTATGAAATATTGGTTTATCATAAAACGATTTAAAATTTGTAAGGGGGTGATTCGAAACGACTAAGTTTATAATGGTAATTTAAGTCGATTAAATTTGTGAATGGCAAATTCGAGATGATTAAAAAAAAAAAAACAGTCGATAATTAAGACGTTAAAAAAAAAAAAAAAAAAATTTCATTTCCGAAAAAAAGACATCACTACACACAAGATTTTATTTGAATTTTGTAATAAGATTGTTTGTTTTTTATTTAAAAAAGTGTGACGATAACAAAGTCTTGACGTTAATCGAAAAAAAACTCTACATTAACCGGGCTAAAACAAGAATAACCATATGTGGGAAGAAAATCGCTGGTTAAGCGTAATTTGGTACAATTTATATTATTCATGATTGGCAAACAATAGAATGATCGATTTTAACCGTTTTTAATCATTCCTAATTGGCCAAAAATGTTTATTTTAAATATGAAACTGATAAGTTACTAATTAAGGAAGCCAGAATTCGATAACGTGTACAAATTGCATTGCATTTCGGCCACAATAACAATATAACGTTAAATAATCCGAACCCGAGGATTTCCAGAGAATAAAATAAAAAACATTAAGAAAATGAGAAGAATTCATTTTGTTTAAATTATTGTTAGCTTTACCGGTTGATTCCGCATCCAAACATTTAAAACATTTAAATGAAAGATGATCTCGAATGTACAAAGGTCAATGAATCTAAAAAAGATTGACGTATTTTTATTTATTTATTTGACTTGCGTCATTAATTCAAGTTAAAAATCCATAATCGGAGATATAGTTACCTGTTAGATAAATATGTACGTACCAGCTTGTGACTAATCGCATAGGGCGATAATTACCTGAATTGTTTAGATCATTTATTATTGTTACTATTATTATTTGTCTTATATCATTATATCGTAATGATATCGTAATGTATATGTTTTTAGCGTAATAAATTCTTCGAAACTCTTTAATAAAAATTAATTTATTTGTTTAATTAGATTTAGTGAATGATTCTCTTAAATACTGAAATATACTGAAATATACTGAAATATACTGAAATAAAGGATATCTAATGTATCTCTAATGTATCTTTAATGTTTAAGTTGATGCGGAGTAACTAACTTATATTTTTAGATTGGAACTTTAAGAAATGAGTGTTAAAAATTAGGTCAAAAATTTGTCGTACAAATTTCATCATTGTTACAATCTGTACAATGCATTTGGTGTAGTGCTTAAAGGTGCCTAGAGAGTTGCACTACCGAATTTTCAACCCTGTCGTTTTGCTGTAGTTCGCTTAAAAAGAACCACATCGATTAATATTTGATTAAATATATGTGCATACGTACGTACCATACATACATATCAGCTATCAGATATCGGAACGTACGTATTGGAATAGTTAAACGTCATAATTTACGTCATTTATGATATCATAATAACCATTTAAAACTATAAATATCCCAGAATCAAATTTTTTATGTTCTTCAGTTTATAACTTTTTTTTATCATTTTTTCTAACATGAATTCAAGACCGCTTCCACCTGGTTGGGTTTCTCAGGTAAACTTGTTTGAAAAAAAATATTCTTGAAATTCTTAATCATTTTTGCATGATCATATAAACTAATACGTATTACCTTTTTTTTTTTAAGTATGATCCTAATTATAAAAGATATTTTTTCGTTGGTATATATAAGCTGTTTTCTAAAAATATAATTCGTGCATTTTGATTTACATCTGACAATGATCAAAAAGTTCATGTAACTGCATCAACAAATACATTAATTAATATCTGTTTATATGCATGAAATTAGATACAACAAAGCAACCTCCTGTAAGTACATGGGATGATCCTAGAAATGTCTCTCAGCCACAATCCACTCCATCTGGATATCCTCCTCCTCCATCACAACCGATACCAATGCCTTATCAATCTCAATCTCAACCTCAACAACCGTCTTATCTCTCTCAATCTTATCCTCCACAATCATCACAACCAAAAGTTTCTAAAAGGAAAAAAATATGGGATAAATTGGGTTTAGGCGGTTTAGGCAAATTGGGTTCCTCCCCTTCCACTACTACTACTACTACTACCGCTACTGCTGGACAGAGCGGTAGAAAAAATAATTTTGGTTCACTGGCATTAGGTGGCCTCGGAGGAGCTGTAAGTTTTATTGGTTATTCATATAATTTGGATCTTTCTGAACTTTACTGTAAATAGATTATAATTACATTGTTCTCTTTTTTTCCGATCTTTATAGGCTGGAGCTATGCTACTTGAAAATGCTTTACATCATGGCCATCATAATGGTCATCATCATCATCATGGTTATTATGATGATAATTTCTATAATTATGGTGGTGATAATTGTTATAATTATGGTGATGATTTTGGTGGTATTGATTTTTTTGGTGGCGACGATTATTGTAACGATTGGTAATCTTTTTTTGTTTGCGTAATTTTAGTTGCGTAATTTTAATTTGCGATTGGTAAAGCTTTTATTAGTGTATTTGCGTTCTATGTATTTATTTTTCTTTTCATTACGAATAGTTATATTTCGTATTTATAATTCATTTGTATATTAAATAGTTTATATCGAATATATAATTCATTTTTATATTTAAACTTTTTTAGTCTATGTATCTAAATTTATTATCGTTATAAAAAAACTATATTTGTGCATAAATTAAGTTATGCAAAATTAATTGATTGGTTCCCCATACCATGTGTGTTTAAAAATGTCACGTAAGCTAGACTTTTAATTTTTATCCATAAAAAGTTTTATAGCCTTCTTTGTATATTTAAAAAAGAAACCTTATTATGTGTTTATTAAAAATTGTTCCGGCCGAAGTATTATTAACTTTATATGGCCTTATTTTATGTACCTTTTTTGTTTGATTTTAATTTAATTTTTTTTTTTTTTTTTTTTTTTTTTTTTTTTTTTTTTTTTTTTTTTTTTTTTTTTTTTTTTTTTTTTTTATTTTATCTTTTTTTTTTTTTTCTTTAAGAAGGAAAAATATTAAAAAAAAAGCAATTTTGACAAAGCTAGCAATAAGCTTTTAGTAATTTTTTTAGAGAGTTATCTAGCAAGTTAAATATCAGAAATAAGTGAATTATTGCTATAGCAAATCACACCTGGGCACTATTACAAGCAATGCTACTTTGCTAATAGCTTTAGAGTTTATTATTTACTTCAAATATAGTACTTGTCACTTAGAAGTAGTTCTCATATGACTTGCTGACAAGCCCAGAGTTTATTACTCACTGAAAAAACTAAGTACTGTGCAACTCTGGTATTACTGTTAATTTTAGTAAAAAGAAAAAAACCCATACTCTTTTAAGTAGTTCCAAGTATTTTTTCTTTCTTTTGAATTTTGTTAGCCTTATTAAAATTTTTGACAAAAAGTGAGCAATCTAGCTTATCCTCTTCAAAAGATCAGCATTGTTTATACTTACCTAATTTGGACAAGCTTAGTTGAATACAACTATATGTTTTGTTTATTTGTAATCACATCACTACAGTATAAAGAAGAAATCATTGCTCCTATTTAGAAGATACCTGAGTTAAACAGTACACAGAATGAGTCTCAAAGTTAAAACAAAGGTTTTACAATTGAGATATAGTAATTAGTTGCAATTATTATATAATTTTTATCCTTATATCTAGCACAGGCTATAATAGTGTGTTATAGCTACCTTTCTTTTTTTTCGCTTTTTTCATCTTTGTTTATTTATGTTAAATCATTTTAGAATTTGATTTCTTGTTTATGTTTTTTTTTTATCACTATGAGGCATTTTTTTCTAAAATGTTTATATTTTTCATAAACATGGCTTTATTTTTTTTTACTTTTATATACAAATAAGAGTTTAATTATGTTGCTGGGCTTTGGTAAAAAAAAGTCTGAAAGAAGGAAGAGGTAGTCATGATAAATGGTAGGTACTATCTGTTGAGATTCAGGTCATATCTAATTGTAGAAGGGGTTCAAAAAAAGAAGAATCTTACTATAGCAGGTCGAACGTAGATACCAAGTTGGTAACTGGGTTAGTTATAACTTGTAATTTAGGTAACAATTTAAGCTACAGCACTTGTCATTTAGAAATAGTTCTCATACACTATTTGCTAACAAGTTTTAAGTTTATCACTTATCTTCTGAAATGCCCAATTGTAAAATTTACATATTCAAGATAAGTTGTACAAAGTCTAATAAAGTTAAGGCATGACTGTTGAATTTTTTTAAAAAAAAAAAATCTGCCAAATAATAATGAAATATTGTCACAGTGTAGCACTACCAAGATATATACCAGAATTAGATATAATTATCTTTTTTTTAAAAAAAAAGATAAATAACTCAAAACTTCATTTTTAAAGTTGTATTATATGTCTAAATAGTTTAGTCTATCTACAGTCTGACCTTTCTATAGTCACACCCCATATAGTCACACCTCTATATAAGCACCCAATCTTATATAACGGACTTAAATATAGTAAAAAAAACCTCTTTATAATCACAAATTGCTTATAATCACTATCACAAAAAATTTAGATTTTTTTATCAATTTTATTAGTAAAAACCCTCTTTATAGTCACAAATTTTGACTAAATATAGATTACAAAATCTGGTTGGCTGATATTCATATTCATGCTTATTTGAAATATTTTATCAAAAATTCTTAAAGGTTTGATGGCAAATATCTTTTAATGCAGTAGTCCAATTTAAATAAAACAACCACCAAAGTGTTCGACTCGATGAGACGATTCTAATGAGTCCAAGATTGTTAAAATCCAATCACAGGCTCCTGTGATTGTTAAGTATTTGTATTGCTTTATATAGTTAAAAAATGATTAAATTTAAATATTTTAGTTAAAAATTCTTAATGATCTTAGCATCTTGCAATTAGATTTGGATAATTTGAACTCTCAAAAATCATCTCATTGAGTCAAATACTCTGGTAGATATTTTATTCAAATTGGCCCACTAAATTAAAAATTACTTACTATTAAACATTTTAAAATTTTAATAGTATTTTAAATATGCATAAATATATTGCTTATTGGCCTTTGGGCACTTAACTAAGAAAGGTATTTTATTTATAGTCACACCTCTATATAATCACCAAAATAGGGTGCGACCAACTTGTGATTATAGAGAGGTCTGACTGTAGTTCTCATATGCTACCTGCTAACTTCTTCAGAGTTTATCACTCACTACATGTATGGCACTTGTTGTTTAGAAGTAGTTCTTATATGCTACTTGCTAACAAGTCTAGAGTTTATTACTTACTGAAAAGCAAGTACAGTAGCTTTTTCTTTTTTCTGGAAAAAGAGTTACTAGTTGTCAGTTCTTTCAAGAATAAAAATACTTTCATTGAGTGCTAGTGGTTTTTCCCTTTGGTCTCTCTCAGTTTTGCCAGTCTTCTTCAAAAATTTTGACAAAAAGTAGGCAATTTGGCTTACCCTCTCCAAAAGATCAGCATTATTTACCTCCTAAATTCGAACATACCCAGGAATGCAACCATGTGCCTTGTTTATTAGTAGATATGATACGCAACATAATCTGTAGATACGGGTCCTCCATATAATGGGATTGGGCCTCTGGCATAAGAGGCATCTGGAAGTAGCCAGTAGTCGAATAATAAGGATGTTATACTATAGTTGAGATATACAAATGTTGCAGTTGTTATAAAATTTTTTTCTTAAACCTGGCACAAGTTATAATAGTATATTTCTTGTTTTTTTTTTTTTTTTCTCTCTCTCATTTCTCTTGTACTATTTTTTTATAGAGGTAGTTTCTTCCCTTTGTCGGCCCTCAGGCTTTTTCTTTGTGTTTCTTTTTTTTACATCTCATTGTATCATCTTTTTTTTCCTTTAAAATTCACTTTCGTTTTATTTGTTTTTGTTTAGTTATTTTTTTATTTTGTTTTCTTGATATTATTGGTGATTTTGTATTAAATATAAAATCATCACTTTTCTTTTGCTCTCAGTAAAGAAAGAAGATATGTAGAGAAAAGCTTTGACAGGCTGACAAAGTTTATCTGATTTGTATACAGGTTGGTGCAACAAGTTGCATATGGGCACATTTATTGCAGCTAGGTGATATTAGGCTCGCAATCGCATGACTCTCTATTAATGATATATATATTGTTCAAGATAGTTTATTATCACCTTAATATAGTCACAATAAATTGAGCACTGGCAAGACTATCAAAAATTTAAAAAAAGAAAAAAAAAACTAGGGCTTTCATCACTATCTATATCTAAGAACTACCTTATTTAATAACTCTCAGTATCTTTAATTTCACAATTTATTCACAATTTAACTTCACTAAATTAGTAACAAACCCTACCTATTAGATTTTCTAGGCTTTTGTATATCTACTTACAGTTCTCTAATTATTACCATTGCTAAAGTTTCTACTTAAGTCAGAGTTACTCTTCTCTTATAAGATTTATATTAACTCCTGTACTTTACATTTGACTTTCTTCTTTCACAGGTTCTTTACTAGTCTCTTCCTTACTTCTAGCTAAAAACTTGAAAGGGTTAGTCTGTCTAGGCTTTAGGTGTCTCGTAGTCTCTCTCTTCTTGGTATATACTTTTAAAGCATATGTTCTTTTTCTCTAGCATGATAGTCCTGGTAGTCTAGTTAATAGGTCCTCTTGCTAGAAACATTTTCATTCAGTTCTTCAGTCTTAGCTTTGCTTCTAAATTAGTTTACTTGTAATACTATTAGAAGTTTTTGCTATTTCTTTACTTGGGTCTTTCCAAATAGGTTTATGTTACTCTGATTATCTAGATTTTTTGTATACCAAAGCTCCCATTTTAGTAATATACCAAACAACTAATCACCAGATAACATAACTATAATACTTATAATTTTTTAAAAATAATTATCTATACTCTTAATCTGCTACTTGGTTAAATGATAACTAGACCACTTTACTAAGAACCAGATCTTAATAAATATTTTTATTTAAATTTTATGAGTCAATAGAATTTAAATAAAAAAAAATTATCAAATTTGTTCAGATAGTTATAGAGATATCTTTGCTCAATTTTTTAAAAAAATTAACACAACTTCTATTTTAATAGATATTTTGATTTTCTCTAACTTTGAACAAAGATATCTCTACCAAAATTTATGAATTTTTTTTTAAATTGAATTTTATAGACACATAGAATTTGGATAAAAAAAATTTTCATTGAATTTAGTTAAGTGAATAC